AAACAGTGTATTTTCACTATAACTCAGTCAAATCTTGCTCAAATTTAATAATTAAAGTGTCTATTTGAAGCATATTTAAAAAACATGAATTTATGTCAAATAAGCACTGAATTCTGTGTAGAATTGAGTGAGAAATAGCTATTTTTTGTTTTGTTTACTTTTGCAACAAAAAATGATGAATCATCAAGTGTGACAATACTTATGAAAAAGGCAGTAATGTATTGAAACAATCAGTATTACACTAAGAACCAAACATTATATACAGACAATTATGACAATCAATTCTGAACATCCACATGACTCATAGAAGTGTCTCCTAAGAACACTCAACTATTCTGTATTACAAACATTTGTAACCAGAACTGTAAATTTGTACAGTCTTGGAAGGGACTTACACAAGCTACTTGCTTTACAGGATTTACAAATCATGTACATATTATAGGCTCAGAACACAAGTTGTATCATAGCAGGTAGCTCAGCAAACCATTATGTCATTATTGCCTGGATCAAAGTACTGTAATCTTCTAATCAGATAGAACATTAGAGTAATCAAGTAATAATCTTAGGAGACAGTCAGAATCTTAGAATTCTCTACACTTTGTTCTGTACCAATCTAATAGTAACAGTATGTAACCCTTCTACTTCTTTCAATTTAAATCTTGCCTTTCATTTTGTGTAACATTCTCTGTAGCTAGAATACAGATTACTTAAATTTCTTTATACAACTTTCACTCTATTTTGTTCTAACATCTGGCAAAAGGTTCTCTTATTTGTTCATGTATTTTTCATTATTTTTCTTTTGTTCAACCCTAACATTTCCCTGTTAGTACTATACTTTTCCAGAACTCAGAAAACTAAATACAACTACTCCTATACTAGTTACAGGGGGAATTCAGAGAGTTCACCTATTGAAATAGTTCTTGTCCTTTTGTCTCAAAGACCTCTAGTGTAAGGCATAGTCTTAGTCTTAGTTGTTTCTGTATTACCCTACTTGTTGTGTGCTTCACAAGTACACAGTCTACTCTTCACATTTCCCTTCTGAGGTTGTACCTGTGCTAGAAGAACCTGCATCCATTCAGAACCACTCTAGTCTTATAGGACTCATAGTTTAGCTCCCCTCAAACTTATTGATTCACCTGTACTCTTCTCTAGATGTATTACAGGAGTTTCAGTATACTATGTTCAATCAGAGAATCAGGCAGCAGATATCCTTATGAAAGCCTTATACACTACACAGATCAAGCACTTTATCAACCTTATTAGTCTTAACATACAGATTAGTTAGATTGTTTGGGCTTGCAGGGGAGTGTTTGACCCTTAGAGACTTAGGGTCAACACATATATAAAGAGTAGAGTAGCATTCTTAAAATTTAAGTGTTGCATCTCCCCTACATTCTTTCAGCAGACATGGCTGATTGATTGTAGAAAGGCCCAAACCCAACTTAGTGTATATACTAATATTAGTAATCAATACTTGATGTATTCATACTACACAAGCACAATCAACTGGAGGTTATGCAAAGGCAAAGCAATACAAATGTAAGTAGACAATGTTTGTTGTATAACTACTGTAATTAACCTAAGGAAACTATCAAAAACATAAAGGCAATAATTAGTCATAGGGTTAAAAACTATAATCATTTCGACAAATTTCATTAAACAACTTTGCCCATACTTCTTCAGGCCAGCTTTGCATCTCATCGTCATCCAGAAACTTTTCACATAGTTCTGTGTGATTTTTGCGGATTGTACATACTAACCCAAATGCAGAACACTGTGACTGAATATGCCCAGGCTCTCCCCAGCGGTCGAGATTGTTAAGGTTCTCATTATTGGATAAATGAGGTATGATTGAAGGAGGATCAGCCAAGAATCGAGAGTAAGTGCACGGCAGAATGCCCAAGAATATGTCCCGTATGTCCTCGAACGCTTCCATCTCATCGTCTTCGTCGAGGTCCTTAATAGCCCGACAGTAGAACATGCGTTCACCGATCCGGAACACGACACGCTTATGGTTTGTCACGTCGTATAGTATAGGAATTATATCGCCCAGTGCCTGAAGTCGTCCCCTAGCGGTATCCGAAGAGGATTCATACATAAATTTTATGTCAAGGGGCCCCCATCGTGAGAAGGGTACTATCCAGTCCCATACGCATTCGAAGTGCGTCCAATCATTCGACCAGTCCGAGATTACTTGCCGTCCACATCTTGGATCAAACCAGCCGCGAGTTACTTCTTCGCGAACCGAAGGAGCCAGATCTTCCTCAAATTTGTGTGAAGCCATTACTTTGTAGAAAATCGGAAGATTCGGAACCACCTCCGTCTACAACCAGTCATAAGCGCATTTATAAATGACCAGGATCCGGCGATCAGAGCGTCACGTACCGATGAAAGCTTTTGGTCCTCTACTGGTACTAACTCTTCGTCCAATACATAATCAGGAAGTTCCATGCGGATGCTTTCGCGTGTGAGAACGTCCTCTTCAATAAAAGACGCGAGCCGTACATCTCCCGAGGCTGTACCCATTAATAAGAGGCCCCTTCCATCATCAAACACAAGGTCTGAGATCAGATGTTGAAGCGGAAGTGTATCTCTCGAGACTGGAATATAGTCGTCAAGTTCCGTGAAAGGTTGACATTCGTCTGTATTTGCTGGAAGGCGAATGGATGTTGTCGTAAATTCAGAAGGAATCCAGCTGCGGGATGGTGAGACTATAAAAAAAGCTCTTCGACCAGATTGGCCAATAGCGTATCGGGCTAGCACTTGAGTATGGATTACATACGGAGGGGTTGTTTTAGGCGACTCAATAAGAGTGAACGTTGCCGGCTCCTTGGCTTCATCTTGCAAAACAACGACCTGTCGGATAGCAGAGCCGTACTCCTGGTAGTACATACGCAGTGTTGCATCCGGCTGGCCCATTTCCCGTGACTCATCAACGGAAATATCGAAAAAATGGCCTTTGCACGCCGATTCCTTTAGAGATAGGAAGGATACATGCTCGGACCTAAGTTCTCCATCAGGCGACAAGGCGAAGACGTGGACTGTGTCACGATGTAGGGTGAATATGTACCCGTTCTTAATAGTCATCGCTATACACGGCTCCTGAACCAATGCAAGATGTAGACTGAAAGCTGTTGTGTTGGAATGAATAATCACACGTACGAGGGGAAGTGGAGAAAGTGCTCGTAAAGGAGGACTCGGTGATAGACATAATCGAGTCAAGTCCTTCGTTCTCCAGTTGGCAATGTATGGGTACGCGTCATCACCCTTATGAACAGCGAAGCCGATGAGGCTGCCTCGTAAGAAGCGGACATGTGAAGCTTCAGACATCCACGCAAGTTGACTAATCATCACTTCTCCCGCATGCTGAGATATGCAGATGATGAGTATATAAGGCGAACTTCATGTTGCGCCAAATGAGTTATGATATACAGGAGAGGAAAATGCATACGACTTACGAAGTTCCTATGGTAAGTGCACATTGCACTTGAGTGTCGGATTCATCTACTATTCCGTCAGTGACAGGTGCCTCCACGAATGCCTTCGCAGCAAGCTTCATCTCTCCTTTCGGCGGTATATCCCATATTGTGAGTTCGCACCTATTCATGTCTGCTGAAGCAACAAGGGCCCAACGTCCTCGGATCAGTCTAAGCCAAGTTATAGCTGAATCGCGGCTGTTTTCTATTCTGCGTACGTGAAGCTTCCTCCAGATCGTCGCATAATCTCTATCTAATAAAACTGCATGCTTCACCAATGACTCAATGTCACGCGCTTCAACGTCCTTGATGCAACGTAAATAGTGCGGGACAGGCAACGAGTTTCGTATTACGTGCTGTTTGAACAAGTAAGTCCAAAGCTGTTTGTCGTTTGAAATGCCAAACGAGAAAGCAGAACATGTCTATGTACGAATCCTTATCAAGACTGAAGTTCGGAGTAAGTTGAATAACATACCTGCCGCAGACGTAAAATATCATTGAGCCTGAGCTTGGAGAAAATAAGAGAGTGAATATCTTGAGGCAGCGACAGAATATTTTGCGTCATAGCAGGTCCCTGTTGCTAGGCTCGTTGAGTACTTGGACTTGAGGGTAAACGGAAAACGAGGTTGTGGTTCATGTTAGGGTGAAGAAATAAGAGGTGGTGGTCCAGCGACCGACATGACCGGAGTTCCGCTTAGACAATAAGTACTAAGGGTGCCGAACAACTGAGACGCCGATCAAAATGGATCTACAAACAAACGGGTTCATTTGTTCACCGTCATCAAATACAACACAATGCCATGTAAAATACATTAGAGCCACTTAACTGCATTGCGTTAATAATATCACAGTTGCACATAAGTTTGATCGCCAATTAAAGGCCAAAGCCAGGTAAGATAAGGAAGATAGGGAAATAAAGTTTACTTGTGGCCAACAGTTCACATTCAACTTCAGAATAATATTCTCTGAATGAAGGTGCACGTACTTCTCATACATATAACTTAATAACAATTCTAGAACAGGAGTGAGCTCTGTCGATATGCAGTACTGGTAGACCTGAGTCACCTGACAAATAAGTCTCAGCAGTTCCAGGCAACCTTTAAACTGTCCCCTTGCATCTGCAAGGGACCCAATTGCTGTATATTGTTGATTTCCCAAACCCGCCTTCTTTTAATCTTGTTCTTTATTTCTCATATTTCTTCTAGATTTCTGTACAGCTTACATCAACTATTGTTGACTCAATGAGGAAAGGTTTGCTAGTATTCAACACAAGCTATCACTTGGCAGCAAAATCTCGGATCTCGGTGTCATCGGCCTTGACTTACAATAATTAGTATTTCCAATACCACAGATGCAGAGGCCTTCTAGCTAGCTTACTTGGCTGTCTCAGTGTTATGTGCAGCATCGCAATAGACTCCCCTGCTTGTAAGCTCAATACATATTCAAGGAACAAGAAAGCTTCTTGAAAAGACAATAATGTTACCATGGAACTTGAGCCTCTTAAATGTCTGGAAGTATTTGGCTTCAAGTCGTCATCAATTATGCTAAAATAAGCGGACTCTCTGATATAAAAAGTGCTGTACCTACTCCATGTTGATACAACATACACAGAATCTTGGAGACTCTTATCTAGTCAATCTGGTCGCTGGCTCGTCCATCTCTTCAGTTTTAAAAATTGCATCCGTTATATTCCTACTATAGCATCATATACCTACTCAATTGATGCTTGCAGCAGTACTGGAGGCGCGCCTCTCTGCTGGGACTGGGGAATAACCGAAGTAAGTATAAGTTCCTCACTCACAGTATAACTGCCCACATTTATTAATGATCTTTGAAAGATAAATAATTATATTAGAGCACATGAAGGAATTGCACGGCAAACATATGTTAGCAGACATACAAATGGAACGCCATTTGATAATGTTCTCCATAACATTCTCCTAAATTGCTTGTAAGCACTTATTACTATTCTAAACAATATTTTTCTAATTAGTGTTAAATTACTCAGGACAACAGTAAATACATATGCATTTGACACAAGATCTATGCTCCCGATAATCTTGGAAGCAGCTTTTCATAGGCATAATGCTCTTCCTTTCTCAGATGTCTTTTCTGCACTTGGTATGCTTGACAATACTTGTTTCTTGACAATCACTCAGCTAATTGACTTAACCTGCAAGGGTGGTTCATATCATATGCAGAACCGCCTGTGGCAGACCTTGAGCGCACCCAATTTCGCCTCTTATGCTACACCCGACTCTGTTACAACTTAGGGAAGGAGATCGGTAAAATCAAGCCTAAGAAAGCCAAAAAGCCATACTTTCCAACTGTCACACACGTATTTATTGAAGGGAACTGGACTGCCCTTACTACTGAGGAGAATAGGTCAACCCTTCACCTTACCATGTCACTTTCTTCTTCTCTTCCGGTTTCTACAGCTGGGAAAAAATATCCCGATGCAAAAATCATACTGAGGCAGAAAAGGCTAGAAGCTCTTGGGAACATCAGGAATTCGCCATGGATGCAGCAGGCTCCTACTATGAGAGAAGTTACACAAGGGATGTATCAGACAAACCAAGGAATGGCAGGAAATTGTGCTGAGACACTCAATCTAGCAAGGTACGCTCTGTCTTAACTTCATTTGCAAAGGTGCCTCTGAGATTGTACATTGTATTAGCCACCGGTCTAATAGCAGTAGCAGGCAAACAATTGGTTTTGGCCAGGCCTTGGCTGTACACAAGCTTCCAAAACAGTTTCTATCTCCACAAGACTGTTTGAAAGCAAGTCATACAGACCCGTGCGATTCATGTGACTACTTTCTGGGTCACAGTGGAGTGTCACAGCAAGACATGGGTACTGGTTGGACCTATGGTAATCTCCCAGCCGGTTATGCTGAAGATGATAACTGGCCTGTGAGAGTGAGTTACATGTGTCATTTAAAACAAACAGAATACTAAATAGGCCAACACTAGCAAAGTTCCTCCAACAGACCTGATTGGGGTTATAATGAGTATTCAGAAGCAAGGTCGAGTCAAGAAGGCACACTCCCAATGCTAGCAGGTCGACCAGTAAATGGTTCTCCAGATTACTGGAGGAATGTAGGCCAGGGTCATGCCTTTGTTGTACTGCGAAGATAGTCATTTGAAACAGTGGGTTCACATTGTTCAAACTTCAAAGAGTTAATTGTCCTGTGGTCTGGAATGTGATACATGCCATATTATTCTACTAAATCTTGCCACTACATTAATCATGATCCATGACCATGACCCATGATAATTTCTTCAAGTTGCTGATACATGTTCTCATCAAGTGGATAATCAGATCATGCCTGATTGCAAAATATAGCTTAACGCTTAGAATGGCTCATTGAAACCACTGCAATAGCTCAATACAGAGGTCTAGAGCAGTGATTGTATGCGCAGTAGATTGCCAAGAAATCTAGGTAGACTTTCAAGGCAAGCTGAACACTGCCAGCAGGTGTCCCAGTTAGCAAACTCATCAGATTTCGACGTCTGTTACTGTAATCACATATTATTCAGTATTGTCTCATAATCAGGTCTAGCTATGTGACACAGAGGCTGGATCATTCACAATTCTGTATACAAGTAGTTTATTGTTCACGTTGAAAATATCTTTTGTTAACTATAGAGACGTGTTTATCCCTTGGTTCAATATATTAATGCTACATGCGCTCACACCCTCCATAACTTGCGAGAAATGCAGGACGCGAAGGTCTTTCTCTATGACTTCCCAAAAGAATATTTGTGCCCACATTTACTTGTCAAACAGAATCATATAGCAAAACTTAGTACATATCTGGAATTGAAAGCTAGTGCTTCCGTAATTTCTACAACGTCTCTGAAGGTATACCGTATACATGGCCTTTCTGTTGGATGGTGAGAAAAACTCTCAAGAAAACGTGGCTACTAACAAAGATACGCATTTAGAAATTTATAATACAGGTATAAAATATACAGATCCCTCCACAAAGTCCGGAATATTCCTTCTCTTACTTTGAAGCCGTTCATTGGTTGCACGGTAGTTTTCGTCCCATTCTTCATCTATCCAAGAGTCCATACTTGTATCATCCGGAATCTTCCCAGATGTCTCCTTTTGGTATTTGCGAATTGTACGTACGGTGCCAGCAATGTGGCTTTGTGTACTATGGCTGTAGGGAGGGAACCAATCCGTTAGGTTTCGCTGTATATCATAGTCCGAAACGTGGGGGATAATAGATAGAGGATCAGATATGAACTCTCTGTATGTGAGTGGCAAAATCCCCAAGACAATGTCATCTTTGTCTTTGTAGTCAATATTCATGATGCTTTCTCTATCAACAGTACAATCGGGTGTTCGACAGTAGAACATGCGCTCTCCGCTTCGGAAGACGACACGGAAGTGGTCTTTAACGCAATATGCGACCGGAATGACGTTGCCCAACGTTTGGAGTCGCATCCTCGCTATCGAGCAGGAGGTGTTGTAAAAAGTATAATCAACGTCAAGAGATCCCCAGCGAGAAAATGGTCTGATCCAATCCCATACACGTTGAAACCGGGTCCAATCATTGGACCAGCCTGCAAAGGACAACAGCACAGTGTATTGTCCAGTCCAGGCCCGGGTTATCTGCTCGAACAATTCCGGCGGTAGGTTGTCCCATATCTCATAGTGTTTTTGAGTGTCATAGAATATTGGTAGATCAGAACAAACAGCAGTCTAGAGAGCAAAACGTCAGATGTATATTAAGAAATTTGGCAGTTTCAGATACCTGCAAGACTCTCATGATACCAAACATTGATCTTATTAGATTGTGCTCTTTCCTTGCGTTCTATATTAGGAAACCCTGATTGCCTTATGTAGTGTTACTGTGTATTGGATGTCTCAGACTCTCAGACTTCCCCCTATAGTATATAAGGCAGACACATACTTAATGTCACAGTAGAGAGCTGAGGGGTATTCCTGCTATGCCTGTTAAAAGGTTATGAGCTTTTAACTAGTGTAGCAGGAGTGCCCCAAGTACTCTCTCTTATTGAGACATTAAGCAAGTGTCTGCCTTATATACTACATAGTGAAGTCCGATAGTCTGAGACATTCCAAGCACAGTAACTCTACATAAGGCAATTGGGGATTTCCTAATCCAGAGCACAATCTAATACTCCCCTTCAAGCATTAATTAAGAACTAGGACTGTATGCCTAATAGTTTGTTTAGATGCTTGATCTGTAGGACATGGAGAGCTTTTGTAAGGATGTCTGCTAATTGGTTCTGTGATTGAACATAGCATACATTGATGTAATTGTTTTGAATATAACATCACACAAAGTCTTTTTGTAAATCAAGGTGTTTAGTACAAGCATTGTACGTTATTTTGTCAGACTTTACAGTCTTTATTGTACCTTGATTATTACAATAAATCATAATGGGTGCCAATTCAGTCTAGAGTACTTCTTCAGCAAATCGTTTGAGCCAAATGGCTTCTTGAGTAGCATACACTAGCACTTGCAACTCTACTTTATAAACAGATAGTAGTACCAGGTTTTACTGTTTGCTTGACCAGGATATGGTTGATTTAGCTAATTGAAAGATGTAGCTGTTTATTACTTTATGTCCTTCTATTATGAGATGATTAGTTCATCAACAGACGAACCACGAGACGATGACTTCATAATGTCTCAGTTAGAATACATACAATATAAGGACGAGAGACACTGAGCAGTCAATCGTCACCTCACCCCTTGTCTATGTGTGCCCCCCTTAAGTTCTCCCTCTTAACAGGTTATGAGCCTTGAGCTCCCTGCATACATGCATCCACTGTACACTCTAAACTCTTTACTTGCATACATTTGCACACATTTGTATCATGGTTCCCCTACGTACGGATATGCACTGTAAACCAGCTGATGTACCTAAATACTTCAGTCAAAACATCACAATGCTTAAGACTGAAGCAAACTACAAGATGTGGCACTACTGCATCGTTTCTAGTGTTGCAGCTATGTGCTTCGAACACTTACTAAAGGATGAACCACAGAACAAAGCCAAGAGGGAGATGGCTAAGGCCATTCATACATGCATAGTCAATAACATTGCTGACACAATATTGGCAAACTATATACACTTTGATACGTCTATCCCTCAGTTAATGAAAGTGCTTGAAGAATGCTTTAACCCCTAGACAGCATGTAAAAAGGCCATTGACAAATCAGCACTGTTTATTTGTAGAGACCATGTAAAACATTTCAGACATACATTAGACAGACTTGAGGAAGCATATGCAACTCTGTCTGCTAACAGTGATCCACCATACAACTCTACATACAAAGCAGCAATATTGCTTGCCACTCCTGAGCAATATACACACATAGTAAATATGATAATACAATCTACTGATGCCCAAAACAAAGGCAAACCAGTCAATGAACATAAGAAAGTCAAACCAAAGCAACTAATCCTTACATTGCAGAACGCCTACAACAATTACTGTGCTAAACGAGCACAAGATTCTAATGATCAGACAAAGAATAATGCACACATTAATACAATGTATAAAGCCAATAAGCAGAGGAAATTCAATCTGCCAAATCTGTTCAATCTGACAAAAGCAAAATGTTTCAATTGCAGAAAAACAGGACATTTCTCTAAGGAATGCTGCAAACCTCCTACTGAAGCTACAAAGCTTGCACGTGCCAAACATCAGGCTAACATTGTACATAAAACGAATCAAACTGTAGAAAACACAACAAACACATTTATTATTGAAAACCCAAACAAAAACAATGTTGAATCAAAGGAAAGCAATGTTGAAATGAACAATAATGTCTACACTCTTATTCTGAGCAACCAGGACAAACAATTCGAACAATACGTTTCCTGGGTATGTACCAATGTATTTACAAATACAATCATAGCTAACAAGAAATCCTATATGCAAACAATGGATTTACTCGATTCCAGTGCATCAATACATGCTACTCCTTATTTATTTCGATTAACAGATGTACACAACATAACTCCTACGATTGTAACTATTGCAAATAGGTCAACAATGACTCTTAATCAAGCTGAATCTATGTGTATCAAAATCCTGAAGAATATACGAGAAAAAAGCGTCATAACATTACAAAACATCTATTACTATCTGCAAATAACCTTTTCCCTCATAAGTCAAGCACTACTATGTAGGGAAGGTTATTCTTTTATGTTTACAAACGATAATTGTACTATAACATTACTATGTAACAAATACATTAGACATATACAATTGAGAAATAACTTGTATATTTTGTACAATAATCATTTATTAAAAACAATGAACAAACTATCTATTTATGATATACATAAATGCCTCAGACACATAAGTTACGATTATATTAAACGATTATTAAAGACACAACCAAGTGTACTATCAACTAAAATAACAAACTACAAAGAAAAAGAATGTATTGAATGCATAAAAGCAAA